CGTGAGGGCAGGCTGTGTCTCTAGCTCCTAGCACTTAGCAGAGCCTCAACACATTTTTTTTTGCCATTGGTGGTGAATGGTTGTTGAAACCAAAATAGGAACAGGAGTCGTTTCTAATTTATTGTGATTTCACAGACCGGCAGGATGGTTTTGGCTCCAAGTAGCCAGAAAGTGGGTCAAGAAGTTAAGACATCATGGTCCAGAGTGGGGCAGGCCTGGGGCACGGAGCAGCCGTGGCCTGGTGAGGGACAGGGGTCCCTTCCTGCCTCTGCCGTGCAGGCCCGGGACCGCCTTCACCCAGTGCTGGCCTCTTGGGGGTGACTGAGCTTCAACTGTGGGCCCTTCCTGGGTGCGACGGGGCCAGTCTCCGTCCCGGCCCCTCCTCCGGAGTGAGAGTGGGGGTAGGCAGCCAGTGGGGCCTTCTTCTCAGGGTGTGGTCAGCAGGCTCCAGGTTAGGAGGAAGGAGCAAGACGGTGACAGTGTGCATGTGCCCCTCTTCCTTGGTGCACTTGGTTCTTCGCCACCTTAGTTCCGTGTTGGGCCCTGCTTCTTAACCAAAGCCTGGGATTTCAGAAAGGTGGGGTTGTCTGGCCTAATGCTAGATGTGGCCCATTCACTGGAAATGTCTCATCTCTGCTTCTTACCTGGACCCCAAGCATCTCTGGGGGGAGCACTCACCTTGTCCTTGTCCGAGTCCACCCTGGACGGGCGTGGGGACAAGCAACAGGACTCTGTAGGCTTGAAAGAGACACTGTACATGAAGCATTTGTTCAACCCAGTGTCCGCAGAGAGCCAGCACTTGAGGGATGACAGCTGTTGGTACTGCTGGGGGATTTTTCTTTCTTTCTTTTTTTTTAAGTTGATAAAATTCACATGCCATAAAATCCACCTTTTTCAAGTACACATACAGTTCAGTAGCTTTGAATGTATTCCCCAGATTGCTCAACCAACACCACTGTCTAAGTCCAGAACATTTTCATCACCCCAGAAAGAAATAAACTCGTCTGTAGTCTGTCCCCGTCCCCCTGTCCCCTCGCCCCTGGCAACCAGTCTCCTTTCTGTTTCTCTGGCTTTGCCTATTCTGGACATTTCATATAAATGAAGTCATACTATGTGGCTTTTGTGACTGGCTTCCTTAGCTTCGCTAAGCGTTCTGTTGTCAAGGTCATATTATAGCGTGTCTCATTCCTATTTCTGGCTGAAGAAGACTCTGTTGAATGGGCATATCACACTTTGTTTATCCACTCATCAGGGGATGGACATTTGGGTTGTTGCCACTTTTGGGCTCTTACAAATAATGCTGCCATGGACATTGCTGGGCAGGTTTTTGTGTGGGCATGTGTTTCCATCCCTTTGGTTTCATATCTAGGAGTGGAATTACTAGGTTGTATTGTAACTCTATATTTAACTGTTTGAGGAACTGCCAGATTCTTTCCCAAAGCAGCGGCACCATTTTACTTCCCCACCAGCAATGACAGCACTTTTGTCTTTTTGATCATAGCCATCTCAGTAGGTATGAAATAATACCTCGTTGTGGTTTTGATGTGCATTTCCCCGATGGCTAATGATGTTGAGCATCTTTTCACACGCACTTGGGCCATTTGTAGGTCTTATTTGGAGAACTGTCTATTCAAATCCTTTGCCCAGGGATGCCTGGGTGGCTCAGTCAGTTAAGCGTCTGCCTTCGGCTCAGGTCATGATTCCGGGTCCTGGGATCGAGTCCCTCATCAGACTCCTTGCTCAGCAGGGAGCCTGCCTCTCCCCCTGCTTGTGCTCGCTTGCTCTCTCTCGCTCTCTCTGCCTCTGACAAATAAATAAATAATATCTTAAAAAAAAACCCAAATCCTTTGCCCATTTTAAATTTGGGTTGTCTTTTTATTGCTTGTTAATAGTTCTTTATATGGTTTGGATACTAGACTCTTATCAGATGTATGATTTGCAAATATTTTTCCCCATTCTGTGGGTTGTCTTTTCACTTTCTTGATAATGTCCTCTGAAGCACAAAAGTTTTTAATTTTGATGATATCAGATTTACCTATTTTTACTTTGGTTTCTTGTACTTTTAGTATCTAAGAAACCATTACGTGACTCAAGATCATGAAGATTTACACCCATGTTGTCCTCTAAGAGTTTCACTGTTATAGATCTTATATTTAGATCATGATCCATTTTGAATCAATTCTTGTGTATGGTGTGAGGTAGGATTCCAGCTTCATTATTTCACACATGGATATCTAGTTTTCCTACCACCATTTGTTGAAAAGACTGTCGTTTCCCCGCTCCACTTGAATTATATTGGCACCCTGGTGGACAGTCCGTTGACTCCAGATGGATGGGTCTGTTTCTGGTCTCTCAGTTGTATTCCATTGATCTGTAGGTCTGCTCTTGTACCACTACCATACTGCATGATTACTGTAGCTTTGTAGTAAGTTCTTAAATTGGGAAGTGTGAGTCTTCCAACTTTGTGCTTTTTCAAGATTTCAAGATTGGCTCTCCTGGGTCCCTTGCATTTTTACATGCCATAAAATCCACCTGAATTTAAGGATTAGCTTGTCAGTTCCCACTAAAAGAAAGCCGGGATTTTGATGGGGATTGCGCTGAATCCGTAGATCACTGTGGGAGTGTTGCCAGCTTCATATATTAAATGTCTTATTCATGAGCATGGGATGTCCTTCTATTTATTGAGATCTTCTTGAATGTTTTTCAGCCACATTTTATAGTTTTCAGCATTTAAGTCTTTGGTTAAATTTATTTCTTAAGTGTTTTTATTTTTTAATGCTACTGTAAGTAGAATTATTTTCTTAATTTCATATTCAGATTATTCTTTGCTAACATATAGAAATATAATTGTTTTTTTGTGTGTGTGTATTGATCTTTTCTTTTGCAGTCTTACTGAACTTATTTATCTTAATAGGTTTTGGGTTTTTGTGTGTGTGGATTCCTTGGGATTTTCTGTAAACAGGATCACATCACCTGCATAGAGAAGCAGTTTTACATCCTCTTTCCTGTCTGGAGGCTTTTTATTTCATTCTCTCTCCTAATTACCCTGGCTAGAACCTCCACTACGGTGTTGAATAGAAGTGGCAAGAACAGACATCCTTGTCTTGTTCCTAGTCTTAAGGGGAAAGCGCCCAGTCTTTCACCCCAACGTAGAATGTTTCTGTGGTTTTTGTAGATGCTCTTTAATCAGATTGAAGAAGTTCCCTTCTATTCCTGGTTTGTTGTGTGTCTTTATCCTGAAGGACATTGGATTTTGCCCAGTGCTTTTTCTGAGTCTTCTGGAGATGATCATCTCAGTAAAAGCTTTGTCCTTTATCCTGCTAACATGAAGTGAGCACTTTATCTGCTAGGGAGCTAGCTTCCCAGGTCTGAGCTTCCCCAGCTACACCACATACTCACTGTGTAACTCTGGGCAGGGGACGTCGCCTGTAAACTGGGAGTGACTACTTTCTCATGGGGCTCTTGTGAGGGGGCTTGAATTGCTTTGTAGACGGTGTTGTCTGGCACATATCAAGTGCAGTTTACGGAGCACTTGGCTATGATTGGTGACATGTGAAAGCGTGGGTGGGAGGGGTCACTGATGGGGGCATTGCAAGGCTAATGTAGGGCCAGGCTGATGCACCTGTTCTGAAATGTCTGCTCATGGAGAGTCCGGAAGCTGTCACGGGAAGTGGCCTGTTAGGCTCCAGTTGTCTCTGAACCTTCCTTTGGGAAGGGATGGGCCACGCCTGAGGCACAGGTGAGCACCTGTCTGCTGCAGGACCCCCAGTTTGTTCAGGCCTTGCGTGTCACATTCGGTCAGGTCTGGGCTGCAGGGGCTGTGTGTTCGCAGCAACAAGCTTCCCCGCCTGGGCTCTGAGTCCAGGCTTGGGGGCGGGGCAGGAATGGGACCTTGTCTAGATAGTGACTTACGGCTGAGAGCCAACACGTAGCCCCAGCTCCCCACCCCGACTTTCCTGACTTCTCTTTTCCTGGCCTCCCCTTTAACCTGGCTCCTCGTCCTGCCTCTGTCATTGACCGTCAGGTGACTTTCGGCAGACTGCTTGTTGGGGCCTGTTTTGGCCTCTGTCCACAGACACTGTCATAGCAGTTTGAGGATTAAATGAATGCTCTGTTTGGAGGGCCTGTAGCACCGTTTGCCAGGGCTCAGCAAACACTGTCCCCAGACCACCCTCCTGTGGTCCCCAAGAAGCCCTGCAACCCCTGAAATCTGCCAACACTTCTGCGCCTGTATGGAGTTTGGATTTTACAGGTGGGTGGGGAGAGAGATAAAAACACTTTTAATATGCCCTGTGTAATTCTTGGCATTCATTTTTATGAGCTGTATGAGGCTGGATCTTACCTTGGTTTAATGTACTGACCTTCTAGCCAGCCAAGTAGCTCAAAGTTCCTGGAGACAGGCCACTTTGCTTCTTTACTTTTTGGTTTGTTTTCCAAGGTTTGGGGGAAGAGGGCACCTTACCAACACTGACCTTTCCCTGTCCCTATGCTCAGAAGTACAGGGTGGTCCCACCTCCTGAGGAGCTGCTGGTCTGATCTGAGAAGGGGCCTAGACAAGAAACAGTAATAACAAGCCAGTAATGTAATCTAGCAAACGGTAGGGAGCATCAGAATACATTTGGTTATCCCACAGATCATCTGTTTTGCCCTAACTCGGTGCCTGGCACCAGGAGCATTCTGACAACCAGAGCAGACTCAGCTCCCAGAGCTTTTCAGAAAAACCAGATGTACCGAGAACCCACTGGATGGGCGCCCCTCTGAAACCGGGGACTCAGGCAAGCCAGGGTGTGAGAAGGTGTTGGCAGCGGGGCAGGGCCAGGGTCAGAGTGTGCCTGCAGGAGGCTGGAGAAGGGCCGTGAGCGTGCTTGAGAGAGGGAGGGAGGGAGGGAGGGAAGGAGTCAGGAGGCCACACCAGCAGGCAGTGGCTGATGAGATGTGTCCCCCCAGCCTCGGCTTCCTTCTCATAGGATTGTTCTGCAGACTTCAGAGGTGCACGCAAAGCATAGCACAGTGCTAGACGCGCGGCCAGAGCTAACCCCACAGCGTCACTCCTGCAGTTACCGTGAAGCCAGTAAGGCGTGTGGTAGGAGAAGGCTTTATTGAACCAGATAATGTTCATAGTTCACTGAGTGAGCATTTGGGTTCCCAGACAGTATCCGGTTGTAGCGTTCTGTGTGCGTACATGTGCACGTGCCTCTAGGCTTGGTTGCAGTAGTAGTCGTATCTGTGAGCGCATGTGGTTCTTTTCTTTGGTCTTCAAGTTTTATGCTTATCATACGTAGGTTCTGTAATTACAGAAATGTTAATACAAAACGTAATTAAAGACCACGCCGCTGTTACTGTCGGTGTCTGTGCGCACGCTCGCGCCCTCGCGGAGTTGGGGTGTCCGCTCAGGAGAGCAGGGGTGCCGAGGGAGGCCCCGGGGAGGTGGGTCTGTCACAGGAAAGTGGGCCTGGGGGCGAGCGGGCGGCCTGCTGACGTGGGCTTCTTCTCTGTCCACAGATGACAGGATCTGCTCACCACCCTTCATGGAGCTCACGAGCCTGAGTGGAGACGACACTATGAGGCTCCTGGAGCAGAACGGCCTGGCGTTCCCCTTCAGTGCGTACCGCCCCGGGCCCCGCTGGGCAGGCTCGGCAGGCCCGGCAGGCCATGGGCCGGATGGTGGTGGGGGGCTGTCTGTGGCTCCCCGGGACACACGAGGGCCTTGGCTGCCAGGGAGGGCTGAGCCCCGCGTCCCGCTCCCACCTGCACAGTGGAGACGGGTCCTCAGGTGGTGTGGGCTGGAGGTGCTCTTCTGCTGGCCCGGCAGCGTCTGTCCAGACCACCCTGAGTGCGGATGCTGGCCACCGTTGAGCCAGCCTGTCTCCCTAGCTCCCCACTGCCCCTTATCCCCACGGGCTGCAGGAGTTTCAGGAATTTCTCCCCATGTCTGCCAGGTCAGGCTTTGTGGGGAAGTCACCTCACTGATTTCTCTCTGCTTTTCTCTCCCTGCTCCATAGTTTGCAAAACCAGAGTGGCTCATGGCACCAACTCTCACGAGGTAAGCAGAAACTTTGACTGCCCTCTTCCCCCACTTCCTCCCCCCGTGCCCCTGTCTTTCTAGCTCACAGTGTCCCTCTGGGAGCCCGCAAGAGTCTGTGTGCTAGATCCCACCCCTGCTGCTCCCGCTCCCTGTCTTGCCCCTGCTTGTGGCTCTGCACGCTGTCGCCAGCCTCTGCCCATGCCTGGCCTGTCCCCAGGGGTGGGAGGCGTGTGCCAGGGGTCTGCCTGCCCCCTCTGAGCCCTTGCAGATCCTATTGCAGTTTGACCTGTCCGGCTTTACGACCTCTGGCTTGTCAGTGTGGGTCACTCCCTGGGCGCCCGCTCTATGCCAGGCCCTGCACCGGACCCCTCTGCGTGCTGTGAGCTGGAAAGATGCTCTCACTGCCCCCACAGCACCTGCCCGCCAACCTCCCACCTGCCCTGTTCACTAGTACCCGGTCCCTCTGTGGGTCAGCGCCTTGCGCTTCTCTGACTGGCAGGGTGGCTCTAGTCACTATTAGCGTGGTTAGACCGTCCTGATGCAGAAAAGCTCAGCCTGCAGGAGAGTAACCGCTTCTCTCCGTGAGAGAGTTCTGGACTCATACAGACCTGGGAGCAGGTCTGGCTCTGTGCACTGCCAACTGTGTGACTTTGGGCAGATCCCCCAGCCTCTCTGAGTGTCTGTCCGCACTTGGAAGTGGGGATGTGATGGTGGTTGTGGAAGAGGAGGGGCTTGCTGCCCGTGCTGCTGTGGGGCCTGGCACAGAAAGCGTTGGGTGCGCTGTGAGGGAACCAGGTATGGAGCCTGCCAGGTCACTGCAGAATGGTGGGGGTGTTCCGGATCCAAGTGAGCTCCCTCCTTGGCAGGAGTCTCGACCCTCACGTCTGGGGTCGGTGTGTTCCGGGGAGGCTTTCATCCCTTAGTCTAGCTGTTGGAATCTGGCTCCAAAATGTACACATGTGTGCATCCCTGTCTCTCCCGACCCACAGTGTGCTGTTTCAGGGAGGGGCTCCTCTTCTCCTGAGCGGGGGGGTTGGGAACGGAGCCTCCAGGGTTGGAATCTGGAGGCTCCCAGGGAGTTGGTGTGTGCTGCAGGCCGCCTGCCTCCTGGGAGGCTTTCACGTCAGAGGGCTGCCCCCTCGGGTGGGGCGCCCCCCACAGCATGAGTCTGGAGGTTGGGGGGCAAGGCTCCTCACCTATTCTAGGGGTGCCTGGGGATGTTGAGTGCAGCGAGGATAGAGGACAGCTCTATGGACATGATTGGTTTTAGACAGGAAAGTGAGGCTTTCTGATTAGGGTCCTCACCTCTACTGAGGTCTCTCTGAGTCCCCCAGCCCCAAGCTCAGTGAAACCCAACTAGTTTGGCCAAACTACTCTCTTTTCATTGTGTGTTCACAGAGCTGCCTGGGTTTTTGTTTGGTTTTTAAACCAGGGCAAGCACACTGATTTGCTTAGAGTGAAATTACCAGCCCCCGCTTCTGAGTTGAACCCCTGAGCCAGAAGCCCAAAGCACCTCTGAAGCTATCCTGTGGTAGTTACTGCTGCTGTTTTATAAGTGGGGAAAATGGAGCAAGTTCCCCCCCCCCCTGCACTCTGGTGGCTGGGCGCTGGAGCTAGGACTTAAACCCGTGTCTGGCTCCAGAGCCCCCTGTGTTCTTTCCCTTCCTCGGCAGAAGGCTGAGGGGACGGTCCCTGTGGCGCGTGCACACACACACGTACATGCAGTGCGTGCACGGTCTGTTTCCCCGCGTGGCCTGCTTCTCTGCTTCTGCCCCGTGCGGCTAAGCACCAGGAACGTTGGGGTGGTGCTCTATGACTGTGGATGCCAGGGACGGCAGCCGGCGCAGGCAGCCAGCTGTCCAGGCTCCGACATTCCTGCCCCGAGTCCTGGGCATCTGGTGGCTCCTTCCTGGGGCCTGTGGGCTGCAAGGGATTAGCCGTGGCCCCAGACCGGCAGCTGACAGCCCAAGCAGAGATTTTTCTCCAGCTGCCCTTCTGCTCTCCCTGCTTTAGTGGCCTACGAGATCCTTCCAGGGGGGACCTTTGTCCTCAGACAGTCAGGGACTGGGAGCAGCATGTTCCTGTCCCTCAAGCCTCCGTGTAGCTTACTCTGCGTGTCAGAGGCCAGGGCTGCGTGCTGGGCAGACTCAGTCCCATCCTGGGCTCTGTCACTTTCCAACAAGCCACTGAGCTTTTTAGGGCCTCAGTTTCCTTGTATGTAAAAGGTGCATGAGAATAGTGCCCCCCTCAGAGGTGCATTGTGAGGACAGCACCAGGTGACTCACATAAAGCGGTCGGAACAGGGCTGGGCATGTCGTGAGTGGGCAACCAGAGGCAGCCTTTGTCCACATACGGATTTTGACTCAAGGCCTCCCAACTCCCGATCCGTTGCCTTCCACTTCCTGCCTCACCTGGATCTTTGTGGAGGAACCTCTAAGGAGGTCATAAAGAATGCGTAGTATACAACTGGGGGTCCTATTTCCTGGATCACAGTGTGAATAGAGGAGTTGTGCAGTGCACAGCCAGCTCAACCCTGCAGGGAGAGCCTGATGTTGCAGAATTTCTAAGCCCCCAGAGTAGGAGTGAATTGATCCCCAGGTGTTCTTCTCAAGTCTCACTCCACTCACCCTGGCTTGAGATTTTTCATGGAGAGTCCTCGGTTCACAGCGATGGTCCTTGGTAGCAGAGCTCTGGACTGGTGACGTGCCCCTGTGTCTAAGACTGAGTAGGTAGTGGACTCTGACAGCCCTTGGCCCCCTGTCTCCACAGATGGCCATCGTGTTCAACCAGGAGGGCCTGAGTGCCATCCAGCCACCCTGTGTGGTCCAGAACTTCATCAACCACAACGCCGTCCTGTACAAGGTGTTTGTGGTGGGCGAATCCTACACTGTCGTCCAGAGGCCCTCTCTGAAGAACTTCTCTGCGGGCACGTCAGGTAACCAAGCCTTCTGCCGTCTCGGGGGCCCAGCTGGGACAGGCATCAGCCGTCGGTCCTACAGCATTTCCACTGCCACCCTGTGTTACTTTGGGGGGGGGCGGTGGCGGGGATGGGCTGATCTGAAGGTTGAAGGAGTTGCATGCAGTAGGTGAGGAGGTCTCGGAGAACAAGGTGAAACCCCATCCCACCAGGTCATTGTAGGGTCTCCATCCATCTGAACCACCAGGATGCTTCCTGGGGCCCCACACAGAAATGAGACTCATGAGGAACATGCTAGAACGGATGATGGGCCCTTCAGGGAAGTGAGTTTGGGAAAGGGCCCCTCGTATTTTGAGGGCCAGAGTGCTGACTGCTTTATCAGGTCCCCTTTTTCCAAATGGGGAAACACTGAGTTACTAGCCGCTTCTGCAGCCACTGAGGTGGCTCTGCGCTCCGTTCGAAGTCCTGCAGGTTCATGGCGCTTCCTAGCTGTGGGACCTCCGCCAGGTACATGTGGGCAGTCACCCCCACCAGGCCCCCCTTTGCAGGGGTGAGGACCGAGTCCGAGTGTTTCGGATCCCGGGTATCCCTCAGGTGTCACAGGGTGGCGGTATCTGCAGGATGCTGCTGTCATTGGAGGCTGAGGGGCTCCACAAACTCAACTTTTTTTTAGCTGCTCTCCTGACACCAGGTGGCCCTTGGCCCTTTCAAAAACAGACACTAAGATAAGGATTTGCTCGTGTTGGGGCTGCTCAAAAGAATGGGGGTTCTGAAGGCATCTCTAAGGCAAGTTCCAGAAACCTTTGGCACAGAGTAACAGCGTCTTTGAAATAAGCAGAGCTTTCTGAGAGGACCCCTTGGAGGATATTTGATTGTCCTCATGTGGTTTGCTCAAACACGCTGTACATTTATCTCTGCAAGGGAACCCAGCCATCACCAGATGTATTGAAATACCGGGCTGTTCTGTCTCCATCTGAGCAAACAGATGTGTCTTCTTAAAAAGTCTCTCCTGCTGGGATTGCCTGTCACCATCCGCTCCTGGTGGCTTTAAGCCACTTCTCGAATGAAGTTCAGCTGTTCTTGTCTTCCTCTCTCAGCTGTTCTTCCCTGGACGGCTTTTTTCTTCCCATTAACACAACACAGAGAGCAGATACTTTGGAAATGTGCATCGATTTTTCACTTCCTTTCTGGGTGCAGGCAGCCTCCTCGTCGGGTGTGGGGCCCCAGGACTCGAGGCTGCAGTGTCAGGGTTTGGGACATCCCCATTGTCACCCTGGTCCCAGCCCCAGCACACTGGGATGATGGAATGATCTAGGGGTGAGAGGACCACGGACTGGGGTCGGGGGGGGGTCGTCTTTTTGTATGTGACTGGATACCAGCAAGAGGCATTCTTACAGATTGTGGGCTGGAAGAGTAGGCTATATGCCCAGCATGGAGCCCAGCTTGGGGCTTGAACTCACAATCTTGTGATCAAGACGTGAGCGGAGATTAAGAGTCGGACGCTTAACCAACTGAGCCACCCAGGCTCCCCAAGAGACTTTAAAAAAAAAAAAATCCTCTATTATTTTCCTGATTTTTAAAAAATACTATGTTTTAAGTCTTTGGAAAATGTATTAAATTAAGAGTGGTATACCTTATGTAGCTCCCTTTCTTTTTTTTTTTTCCCTTTACCAAAATTCTTCTGTCTGTAAAAGGAATTTATCACCAGGTTTTCTTCCTTTGAAGACAAAAAGTATTCTTTTTTTTTCTCCTTTTCCTCCTGGTTGCAAAGTGCTGGGCCAGCTTCTGTCTCAGCACCAGGAGCCTTTCGCAGCAGGGTGTGGACTCTCTGTCCTGTGTCTTGAGGGTGCGGGCTCCATGTCTGTGTGTCTTCTGACCATTTCCAGCTTGCCGGTTTTCCATAAAATGTCAGCTGGGGCCAAATCAATGAGTAGATAAGCACACAGAGCTAATGCCGAAATGTTTATTGTGCTCAGATAAGCTGACCTAACTTTCAGCGTGTTCGTCCATCCATCCCCAAAGCTGGTTTCATGTCTGCAGCCTTTGGGGCATCATGGCAGGGAGCTGGCGTGGGCTTTGTTCTCTTGATACGTGTGTGCTTTCCGGATCAGAAGCATAAATCGACAGTGGTCCTTTAAGCTGGACCAATTGAGCAGGGGGGCTTTGGGGGCTCTGGGCTCTTTCTAGCCCCCACCCTGGCTTTCTGGTTCTTGTCTAGCACGGCAGGCCTGCAGCTTCCCCTGTCCATGCAGGGAGCTGTGGCTCTTGAGTGGGATTCTTCAGGACCTCGGGGAGGGCAGCCAGGGACACTAGCCTTCCCTCCTTAACTGCCGTGCTCTGTTGATTCTCAGGGCCATTTTTCGTGTTTACTGGATGGCATCTCTGAAGTCAGGTGTGTCCTAGGGCCGGTGGCATCTCGCACTTGCCTTGGCTGGAATGGAAGTCAGGTTCTTACTGAGAGGGTTGGTGGTGTCCTGCGCCAGCCACCAGGAACACACATTCTCTGCCTTTCGTTCACAGCTGGGGAGATTGCTCCCCTCTCTCTACCCAGGGCCAGGATCCAGATGGGCACGTTTCTCCGCTCCCCCTTTTGTTCGGTGGATTTACTTCTGTTTCTTGACTGTGAGGACTAGTGCCTTTATTCTACTCTCCTTTCTGGGCCTTTTTTCCCTTGGGGTCCATAAAAGAACGGCATCACTTAGCACATAGAGCTGGGCTCAGCAGACTTTTTCTGCAAAAGGCCAGATAGTAAGAATGTCCAGCTCTGTCGTAATTATGTACCTCTGCCCTTGGAGCATGAAAGCAGCTGTAGACAATGTAGAAGCAACTGGGCATGCTGTGGTCCCATAAAACTGTATTTACAAATGCAGGTGATAGGCCAGATTTGGCCTCCAGGCTCTGGTTTGCTGACCTGTCACCTACAGCCTCTCCGTAGATGCCATATTTCCTTGAAGCTGCCACGTGCCCAGCCCTGTGCCAGGTACTGATCCAGGAGGGAACGAGATAGTCAGCCAAGCACCCTGCCCCCGTGTGCTCGTATTCTAGTGGGAGAGAGCGCCCATGTGGAAAGAAATAATAAAAAGATGCATCATGGCATAGATGAAGGGCTCCAGAGGAAGCAGTGGGGTCCGGGGCTGCCACTGGGTGAGGGAGCCCCTTGGACAGGGCAGCCAGGGCCGCCCCTCTGTGTGGCGGATACACGTATGGGACCTGGCAGAGCATCTGGGCCCCCGTCTGCAGTGCTGTGACCTGTTTCCCCGGCCCCGAGACCTGCGTGGAGATGAGGCAGACGGAGCAGAAGAGTGAGTGGCCGCTTCTCCTGACTACTGAGTTACTGCAATATTGGGGTATTAAGCTGGTCATGGACTCTCTTCTTTCTCATCTGTAAATTGGGGGCCACGGCACCCCTATTCCCTTCATTGCTCTCCCGCCCCCGCAGGGTGTTGGTGGGGCTTCTTCACTCAGGCTGTGTGTCTCAGGACCGCTGTGGACATGGGGGATGCCTGGGGCCCCAGATCCAGAGTGCTCCTGTGATTAGGGTGCCAGGGCCTAGCCAGCTTCATCTTTAGAGGGACTGGGTCTCTTAAAGCTCCCCGAGGAGTTGGCATCAAAGGATGTGTGACCCCCTTCTGACCTGTCTCGGCTTCCCGGTCTCCGGGGTCGGGGAGTGGCTGGAAGCTGCCCACACGCCCTGTGGCCCCTGCTCAAGCCAGACACACGTAGGATGTGAGCAGAGGATGGCTCCCCCTCCCCCACCGCCAGTGCTCACCGGTCCTCTGGCCAGAGCCCTCGGGTCAGAGTTAGCCAGGAGGAGAAGTGGTCTCCTTCGAAATGGTCCACGTGTGTGACTTGGTCTTCCTGCCGCAGGGAGCTCTTGGGTGACATGATCTGTCCAGTTCAGCAGGTGCTGGCTGTGCCCTTCTGAGTGCCCAGCTTCTTGCCTTCCTGGCATAAACACCCATGGTGTTGCCTTGTGGCTCCTGCAGGCTTCCCAGCCTCCCTGAACTTGGCTGTGTCTGCCTGCTCTGCGTGGCCCTTTACCACCCTTTACCAAGGCTTGCTCTGCCACCCTTGGGGACCCTCGGGGTGGGTGGGAGGCACCCTGAGTTTGGTGGGGTTGGGCCAAGGTGGGCAGTGCCTACAGAGGGCCAGAATCCCCCACTCCAGCTGCCCGATCCCCACTCTGTCCTCTGGCCCGCCGGCCTTGCCACCCCTCAAGGCTCACTCTTTTTGGCTGTCAGCGCCCAGGAGTAGAGATTGGTGGGGCTGCCTGGCGCAAGTCCTGCAGGGTGTTTATTTTCCCTAGGCTCCTCCCCAGGACCGTCTCTCGTGCCCCCCGTCTGGACTGGCTCTGGTCGGAGCGGCGGGAGGACTGTCGGGTATACCGGGGCGGCAAGGGGCCTGTGTGCCCCATTAGCGGGAAGGATGCCAGGTACATCTCAGCACCTGCCTGCTTGGCCTCCGCCCGAATCACTTTCTCATGCATGATTGTTGCGGCACCGTAATCCTGGAGCTGGTGGGGGTCCTTGGCGATCAGAGCAGGTGCCCCCTGCGGCCTGGCCCCTCCACACCATGGTGCTCAACCAAGGCCCTTCCTATCCTGCACTTAGGGGCCTGGGTCCCAGAGATGAGCAGTGTGTCCTGGGAACGGGAGCCATGATGCCCCGTCCTGGAGGGACTGAAGCAGAGGCTGCCAGGGCCACGTAGGGGCTCATGGCCCAGGATATCTCCATGTCATTCTTGGTGGGGGGCATGGGGTGGTGAAGCTCGCGGTTTTGTGATTCTTGCATTCTTGTGCCCATGCTTCCAAGTGCTTGAGAACGTGTGACCGACCAACCTCACTCCATGGGATGGATAGACAAACCAGCTGCTTATTGCTCTCATTATTCTTGGGATCGGTCTGCCCATCTGGGTGGTGCCCCAGTGGGACTGAGGGTATGGTGGGAGGCAGACATGGATCAGGAAGTATGGTGTGGGAGGAGGTGGAAGGTGTTTCAGGGGGGCTGTGCCAGCTTCCAAAGCCAAACAAATTGTTCTGTATACTTTTCTTGGATGGATCCTATAAAAGCCCATGTTCCGATTTCCTATTTTTTCCCCTATGTATTTGGGAAACAGCAGAACCCTTTGTATTCTAAACACTCACGTGCCAGGTGGCTGCTTGGGCATTTCTCAAGTGCTATGCTGAAAAGGAGTTCCATGGTCACATACTGGGAGGGGCTGGAAATACTGGATTAAATAGCATTCACCGGACCTCTTGACTTCGGGCCTTTGATACTCCGGTACACTGCGTTTCCCACTCACTCAGCCACCACGACATCCTCTTAGCCCCTTTTCTAGTGCCATGTCCATAAGACACACTAGACACACTTTGGAATGGGGCCTTGGGTGTTGGGGAAAACCAGATAGGATCCTATAAGATGGTAGCAGAGGTAGGCTCATTAAGGCAATTATTTTTGTATGGGAAATGGGAGCCCTGAGTGGACATGTTTCCGGTCATGGTGCCGTGTCTCCTTGGCGTGGGGGTGCCCGGCTCACTGGGACCCCAGGTTGGCTGCTACTGGATGCCGAACCGTAAGGCTGCGGAGACTGTGGCTGGAGTGGTGCTGCCCCCTGGTGTCGGTTGGTGGAGTCACCTTCTCTGCCTTGAGCTAACTCGGGCTCCTTCCTGTCTTTGCTTTTTCAGACCGGGAGTCCATCTTCTTCAATAGCCACAACGTGTCGAAGCCGGAGTCCTCATCGGTCCTGACCGCGGTATGTTCCTCCTGCCTTAGTGGCCTTCCCTCCCAACCCTGGGTATGCGGGTGCTGCTCGCGGTGGGGCCCAGGGCTGAGCTCCAGCAGAGCATTAGCTTACTCCCGAGGGAAGATTTTCTAACTCTTCTCCCAGAGTGAGGATCTCCCCACCCTCCTCCCAAGTCACGAGGAATTTGCAGACCTGCTTGCTAATCTGCCTTTTTCCTGATTTAAAAAAAAGGGGTGGGAGGCAACAGCACGTCCGTCTTCCTTTCTCTTTCCATGTCTGCGTGAATCCAGTAGCGTTTGTTAAGGGCTGGCTGGTACCTCCGCGGGGGTGGCCCACGGAGTAGGCAGGCTTGGGGCGGGTTCCGGGAACGTTGCTGTGTGACAGGCACCATCCTAGACGCCCCGCGGCATCACACCTGGGCCCCGACTCGCCCTTGCGGGAGCAGGGCACACAGTTCTGTTTTCCGGAGTGGGGAGGCTCATGTTCAGCAAGGTTGAGTGACTTCTCCAGACTCACAGGGCTCTTCACTCAGGGGCCATGCTGGCCCATGACCCCAGATTGGTCTGATTCCAAAGCTGGGTCTCTTGGGAATTTAGGACTTCTTCCCTCACTGGTACTGGCAGAGCAGAGTTTGCCCAGAGCAGAGAGTTAGAAATTGTCACAGGGCAGCTTCTGCCGTCCCTCTCAAGTCCAGCGGGCCGGCGGTCTCCTCTGCCCCTTCCCCTGACCTTGGAGCCCTGGGCTGCGTCTCCTGAGTCATGGCCGTGCTGGCTAATCTGGGAGGATTTGCCTGTGTCCTCCTCCTTGTCCTAGGCTGTTCTCACCAACAGCATCCACTTTAGGCCCCTGCCCCTGGGCCTTACTCCCCCCTTCCTGTACTGGGGGCATGCACTTGCCTATCACCTCCTGCCCACCCCCCCCACCCCCCCGGGCCGCCTGTTCATGTCTCGTGTCTGGTTCCTCTGAGGAGCCAGCTGTGTGCTGAGGGTTTGACAGAGCACAGGCGTGGACTGGGACCGGGAGGGAGCACCAGTGTCCCTCAAGATGTTGAGAGACGTTCCCCAGGAACAAGTGCTGTGGTCAGGGAAGCTTGGAGAACAACCAGATTTTTTTTTTTTTTTTTTTAAAGATTTTATTTATTTGACACAGAGAGGCATAGCGAGAGAGGGAACACAAGCAGGGAGAGTGGGAGAGGGAGAAG